CCTCAAAACCCGTTAACTATACAACACAATAGAGATAAACATATTCAAGACCGATTTTTATTATGTCGTACAGAGCTTACACAAAAATACAAAAATATAAAAAAAAAGTAGATTGAAAATTTTAAATTTAAGATATTTTTTTTTTTTTAAAAAAAATCGGAATTGGGAAGGTGGATTATTTGATAAGTAAAATAAAATAAAATAAAACATAATAAATCTATATACAAATAAATGGCTTCTTTAAATTTAAATGTGAGTGGATTATTATTATTGTTGTTGTTGTTATTATAATTATTATTGAATATAAAATAAATAAATCATTTTTAAACAACTATATATATTTTTTAAATCAACAACAACAACAACAACATGATGTCTGATATATACAATTAAAAAGGTTGTAAGGTGGGCAGCATTGGTATTTGGAATAACTTATGGATTTGTGCATCATAGATCATTAGCACATGCCGAAGCTAAGAATAAAGCAATAGCGAATTATAAACATAAAGAAGAATTGATTTCTAAAGCAAAAGCTGCATACGCTGCTAAGCTTGCAGAAAAAAGTTCAAAAGAAGGTAATAAAAAAATTTTTTTTTATTTTCTTTGCTTTTAATAAATAACAATAATAATAATTGTCATCATTGGAGTGTACACACATACACATATTTAATATTTTTTTCTTTCTAAAATAATCCTTAAAAATAGTTATAACGAATCCAGATGATCCCAACTTTGATTTAGAAAAACTTTTGGTTCATTATGGAAGCAAAGAAAACCATTAAATTATTTTCTAAATTTAAAAAATTCAAGATTAAACCAAATAAATATAAAAAAAAGAACTTTTTAGAAGATGATGATTCTTAAACATCCTTAACATATATATTTATATGTATATTATATATTTATATAAAGTCAGTATATAAATTATATTATTGCATGCAAAAATTTTTTATTCCTTAAAACAAGCACATTCACACACACATATATACATTCATACATACAAACACAAATTTTTAATAATGGATTTTTTTAATTATTATGATGATTATTATTACTATTATTATTATTATTATTATTATTATTATTATTATTATTATTGGTAGTATTATTGATATTATTATTATTATTATTGGTGGTATTATTGATATTATTCTCGAAATTAAGATTGGGATTAGTATTATTATCATTAATATTATTAGAATTAAAATTAGCGTTAGGGATAGCGCTGCTGATGGAATTGGTGGTGTTAGTAGCGTTGTTATTGGTGTTAGTGCTGGTGCTGGTATTATTAGTAATAGCTTTGGTAGCAGCAGTGTAGGCAACCTTATTAATACTACTATTACTACTATTACCACTATTAATGCTACAATTATCATTAATGCTGTTGGTGGTGCCGGTACTGGCGAGGAGAGCGGTAATATTGATGACTTCAGATCCATAATTATCAATTGAACAAGATTCATTGTTGCCAAAATTACAGGTAAACTGTCGTAATTGAGATTGTTGTAATTGTAATTGATTATGATTTTTATGATCATCATAAAAAAATATTTGATAATTATTATAATTACTATTATTATATTGATTATTATTAATATCATTATATACTTTGTATTCTTCGCCATAACGCATCATATTATCGATATTCCCAACATTGGACAATGACAATTTATCATTAAAAGAAAATATTGGTAAATTCCACAATAGATATTCGTCGTCTGTATGATCATTATCATCATTATTAATAATAGATTGAAAAGTTTTGTCGGCCATTTGAAAAGAAGAGGAGGAGGCAGAGGAGAAGAAAAAAGTAAAGAAAATTAAAAATTTTTTTTTGCATTAATTGATTTTTAAATAATAAACCCCCTTTTGATCAAGCAAGTTACGTGACATTTTAAAAAAATCTACTGATGTAAGCTCAAAATAAATATTATCACAGAACCATCATATAAATTGAATTATCTCGTAATTTCTTAATTATCCTTTGTGTAAAATAATATACTGATTCATTATACATAAATTTTAATTAATTAAAAAAAATTTTTTTGTGGAATAATATGAACATGTATTATATGCGGGTTGTGTGGATTGAACACACGGCCTTCAGATCTTCAGTCTGACGCTCTCCCAACTGAGCTAAACCCGCGAATTATCGGAATTTTATTTTTTTTTTATTATTTGAGAACAATTATATTTTTTTTCAATTACAACTAATATTTTTACTGATATTCTACTAACATTCTACTAACATTCTACTAATAATCAAAATTATGGTTAACAGTATGTCTAAAAGTCCTTCTTAATATCATCACCAGAGCTGCATTCTATGCCTGGAAAAATTTTTCTAATTTTTTTTTAATTGTGATATTAATATACGTTATCCTCATTGTCTTATAAACTAACTGCCAGAAATTAAAATCATCGGACTTAAAACTAAAAATTATGCTTTCCTCGAAATTTTTTAGTACGACATAAATCTGCCCTTTTTAAAAAAATTCAATATTTCTACAAGAGTTTTCTCAAGTTTCAAACCAATTTCATATAAGTTTTGATTTGGAAACGAAATTTTGAAAATGATAATAATCTATCTCCTTCTCAAGCTCTATAAACAAGTAATACCCCCTATTCATCACGATTATTATGTTGGTGATGTAAAGTTACCATTAATGGATCACATAAACATTCACTTGTACGATAATAAGTGGAATGCTATTCTATTCCTATCAAAAATTTTTTATTTTTTTTTCTTGAAACATTGTACCTAAAAACGTATTTGATATTGTGTAAGTGTTGATACGCGCGTGTGATATTATAATTAATTAATTAATAATTGTATGTTTGAGTATATGCAACATTATATCATATGTGTGTGTGTACACTCACTTTAATACCTCCAATATCCAAAATAATTATTCCGTCTACTCCCATATTTTTATTATGTTCTTTGTCTTTTTTATCCTTTTCAGTTTTCATATTTTAATAAAATTTTTTAGTTTTTAATGGTTTCCGTGTTACTATGGAGAAGGAAGGACCTGAAACAAATCGGGGTGATTTGGAACTCGATTATTTATTATTGTTACACAATCTTTAAAAGAGAATACTATACCAAAAATGCAAGAGCAAATATTGGGTAAAACGGTAATACGACAAGTTCAGCAATTTTGCCTTGTTGGATTTTTCGGGAAATGAATTGACGGAGCTTATGTTTTTTGCGTTTTTGCTTTACCATGAAATATTATCGTGATACAAGCATAAGCAAAATAATATACTCATGTCTTGTTTTCCCCTCCCTCCTGAATCAAGAAAAATCATGACAGCACGGAAATTCAGGGCCTTGGTCATCAGCCACAATTTAAAGCAGCTTAGGGTCACATGAGTAGAATTCACAGTCATATTTTAATTCACTTGATTTAATACCTTTGGGGAATGAATGGCCATCTCTTATTCATCTTCAATCTGTTTGATTCAATGGTAATTTTCTTTTTTGCAGCAAATATTTGAATTACAACTATTCAATCAGCCGCTTATCAAGAACTTGGGATTAGGGTCTTAGATTTTTCTTTATTGATATGATTTTAATGTAAATATTAGTTTTTGATCAATGTTAACAGCCAAACATTTGTTATTAAAAGTTTTCCCGGGAATAAGCAATAACAATCGATTTTTTTATACAAATATCTTTTTTTTCGTGAATAAGTAACTTTATAAGTTTTTTATTATTAAAAAATAAATCTAAAATTTATATATTTAATATATATATATATATATACTACTCTTTAACATTGAGAACTCTCTTAAAGGATTATTTATACTTTAATTTATCATCGTTTGATTAAATCTCCGTGAATAAGCAACCGGTTAGCATCAAAGAATAAAAGAAGTTGTTGCTTATTCCGACAGAATACAGTGTTCTCTGTCATTTCATTGCTTAGACTTTGTTTTATTTAATTCGATTATTGAATTTAACTTTTTGAGGTTGTTTATTCGTCATATTCATTCATCAGGTCAATCCCAGATAAATTAACTGCTAATTTTCTATCTTTCAAATAATCGCTTATACCATTAGCTGAACTTAATTATTTTGGAAAAATGTGCTTTTCAAAATTCTTTACGTAAAATAACTATGCTTTAGACTAAAGCATTCAAATACATATGAACATTTATTGTTATCAAATGCCATTAAATTATTTTCTAGTTATTATCTTAGGAATTCTGAATATGAAGTGTCATATTTGAGGTGCTTGGTCACGTAAGTTACTATTGGCAGTTATGACAAATGACTAAAATGACAAATGACAAGGCGTTTGGTCACTTGAAAGTCAATTTAAATGACACGGTCATTTGCTGAACCAATCATATTGTTTAATTTTAAATTCAAAATTTTAACATTTAATCAAATGAATTTACAAAATCAGGTGATTCTAAATTATCATTAAAAATACTACAGACTCCATTTGGCAATTATAACCAGCAGGATGTATAGTATGATCTACAGATATAAATTCTAAAGGATCAGAAATATCTTCATTATCATCAATCATATTCATCCAATTTTGAATCAATTCTACCCAATGTTCAGTTCCGTTAATAGAATTACCAGTTCCTTTTTTGAAGGCATCTAAATCCCCTTCTCCTTCAAAAGATGCTAATGTTCACAGTCATTATTTTCAATATTATCATCTCTGAGTGTCATATCATTAGTTACTTCATTTGCATCAAGCAATCTATCTTCATTATCATTGCCAACAGATTCTTGATTATGGGAATTACGATGTGATTTCTTTATAAAGGTTTCCATATCTGACTGTTTTTTTCTTTTGAAATATTTCACTCCTCAATTGACACATTCCAAGAACTTTTTCGTGCTTTTAATAAAAAGATTTTTAATTTTTATTAATCAATCATTTTATAATAAAACTTAAAATTGAAAACTATGTTTTTTACACACATAAGACAATTCCCTTTTTTTGAATGTATAAACCCATATTGGATCAGAGTCTTGCAACAGAGGCAGAATTTATACAAATTCCATGCAAGTGAAGAACTAATCTTTACAATTCAAGTGCTTCACTTTTTGCTAAATAACTAAATCAACTATTTCACAATCAAGTTGACTAAATGTTCTCATATCAAAACTATAAGCTTTCTATTGATATAATAAATATTCACACAAAATTCTGATTGGTGGTGCACCAAATCAAGCATGATAAAATAATTAATCCACTGACCAAAATAAGTACATGAAAGATTGTTTATATTATTTTTAAAAAATGAAATTCTCTATTATGGATGAAGGACTAACGATAAAAGCAAAAGTGGTTGTTCCATCTTTTTTCAATACCCATATTTCATATAAACAATTTTAAAAAAAAAATGAATTGATCTACCTCTTTTGTCATACAATAAATTGGTAAAACTTTATTGGTTTATTTAAATGACCAACCCAAATGACCTTAATGACCATCAAATGACCATCAATGACTTAGTCATTTGGGTCTTTTGGGTTGTTCATTTGTTATCACTGATTATTGGGGAGTTTATAAAAGAGAATTTTACGTATGAATTTTTGACTTTGGCCTGCTTTGTCCTTAAAAGGAAAGATTTATAGAAAAATTTTTAATCAAAGGTTTTATTTGTTTGCAAAGTTTATATATATATATATCAACGATTTTTTTCCAACATATAAAAACAAAAAATTTTTAAAGAAAAAATGTTATACAGTCTAAAATCACTACAGTTCCCTTAATTTCATGTTTGTATCTCTTTAATTGAAGGAAGAGATGACGAAAGAGATATAATTTTCTTTTATTTAGGGAATTGTTATTCGCACCCCACGTGACTAAGTGTAGTAAGGTGACCAATGAATGGCTTAGCCAAATAAATCGCTTAGAAAATGACTTGATCAAATAAATCGCTTAAAATGTGATGATTTTATTAGTTCATCTTTGTCTTAGTCACGTGGGGTGCGAATAACAATTCCCTTTATTATGACATTACTTATTAGGCATCTCCCACCAGTATATGTATATAGTAATATAGGACCATTGAATGTGATCGCCAATACTATGATTCGAAAGAACTTTTAAAAAAAATGTGAACGCCTCACTATAGATTCGCATTAATAGTTATTATATACTGTAATAGTAATTCGAAGAAAATATCCATCGGTTACACTTATTTGCAATATTAATATAGTAATAGTAATAGAGGAGTTATCGGTTACACTATAATTCGCATCAATAAACACTATTATTATTATTATTATTATATATAGTAAAAAAGGTAAAATAATTCCTTATGAGTCACGCCAACAACATACCCCAACTTTCAAGAATTAGTTAATACTAAAAAGCTATTTGAAAAACTTCAAAAGACATTCCGAGAGTAATAATAAGATTTTTAGATTATTTATCATATATTTTTGTTAAGGTTTATCTTCCAGTATCGCTATTCATATTACACTATGAGAAGTAGTTTTTTTTTTGGGATATGTTTTTATTCTAATATTAATCCTTGTTTGATCACAGTAGATTATGAAACATTTTAATTTATAATCATTTTAGTATGTCAAGTACAAAAAACTTCCTTTTAAATATTTTAATTAATAAAGGCTATTTCGATTCGAATTATTAATATTAATGTGTTCGGAAAATATATTCGCATAATTACAATTATAAGTCAAAGACTCCTATTAATATTAATATGATTTGTCATTTAATTTGGCGGCCACATACAATAGAATTTTCCTGGTCCTGTGTATATATACTTTTTTCATTATTTATTTATTTTATATGTTTTTACTTGCCATTCTGTTTTTTTTTTATTGTATTTAAGAATAGTGAAAGAATTAGTACTTGATCTAGATGAAGAAAATAAAAGAGGGTATTAGCAATGAAAAAGAAGAATTTTCGCAGAAAAGTAGACGTTACATTATTAAATGAAAAGTCATATCGTGTCATAATTTGAGTTTTTCATTGAAGCTTGCCTTTCGTCTTGAAAGAAAATTTTATTTAATAGTTGCCCGGATAGATATAAATGCTTTAAGAAAAATTATGATCCATTATTTTTATCGTAAATATGAAAGATATAATTATGAGAATTCTTAGTTTACGAAACTGGAATATTTAGTGCGTTTGTATATATCACGTAAATCTTTTTTCCTTCTCTATTACTATTATAACCAAGTAGGATACGGAATATAGAGTCCGCTTAATAAATACCAGTTAATGGCTATATCATCAATTTCTTAACGGGCTTCTGGTAAAAAAGCTTTATGATTTGACACTCTTTATAATAATGAATTTAATAAATTTTATCTATTAAGATATAGGCCAAAGATGGTAGAAGTCTTGGATAATTCTTTGAAGCAAGAAAAAGATTTGCTTCAAGATAACGGAAACCTATTGACTTTCATAACAAAAACGCATTCATCACCTTGAAACCAAAAAAAAATTTTTCTTCTTTTGTATAATATCAATACTACTGTTTTTGAATGGCAAAAAAATTTTTTTAATAAAACTAAATATTTTTGTACGGAGATGCTATTGCTATGTTACAATAACGATTCAACTCATTCTTCTTCAGGACCAGAAATATTACTTTAACTCCGTGCATGGAATCTCAATGCGAGTCGTCGTCATGTTGTATATAATTCTCATTGTAAAAAAAAACAAGAATGAATGTTGCACCAATACATATTACTTTCTACATATAAAATATTATTTGCCCAATATCCTTGTTTTGTACCTTTGTTTAACAAACAGTAACCACGTTCAGTTTTTCATTTGGATCACCAAATTTAGAATGAATATATAAAATTTTTTATATATATTTAACGTGGTTTTAGATTTTTTTTTTAAAAGTAAAAATGTCAAGGATTGCAAATTCAAATGTTGCTGGATACATGCAAGGTGTTGGTCAAGCGCTTACAGATGATACAACTTATCATATATCAAGTTCGGCAACCACTGTATTGGGAGCTACAGCTGAAGTAGCTGAAGGTTAGTAATAAAAATAAAAATGAATATCTGTTAAAGATGAATATATTTATTATTGCATAAAACATAATAATTAATTACTTTGAGGTTTGAAAAACTAGCTATAACGTTATTTCTTCCAATGATTGGACTTGTAGCAGAATTGACTGCAAAAATAATAGAAGCGTATAATAATGCACAAATTAATAAACGTAGTTGTACAGCTTTAGTAAATCGAGTGCAAGCGGCTGAAGTGGCTGTTCAAGCATTGGTTAGGAATAGATACGATAACGAGGAAAAATTTAAAGATAAAAATTATTATCATTGTTTCCAGAGATTTGTTAATCTTCTCAAGGATATCAAGAAATTTATTGTAGATGTGACTCAAATGAGCGGTCTAAAAAAATTTTTTCAATCTGGTTCAATTAAATCAAAATTTGAAAGATATATTAAGGATTTTGATAGCACAGTAAATGATTTGAATCTTGCTGTAGTTATTGCCAGTGAAGAGCAACGTCAAAAAGATTTTAAAGTGATCTCAGATTCTTTTGAGACCATTATGAAGGTAATATGCGTTAATGATTGTGTAATGATTTTATGTATTATGTTTTCTTAAATGCTGAAAATATTTTTTTAAAATATATAGTTCTTGGAGAATGTGGCAGGAAACGTTGCAGTAGTGAAAACTCACAATAATGAAAAAATTATAGAGATGAACACTAATTTTTCCATAGTACCGCAATTAAAACATCAAGTGGATCAATTAACAAAACAACTATCAGAAGGAACTGATGCTCAAAGTAAACCAAAGCCGAAACCTAAATTTATTCAACCAAATGAATTAAAAAATGCAAGACATTACACGAATTGTACACAAGACAGTGGAAAAATTTTGAGAAAGATGTATATGTGTATGGATGTAATATGTAAACGTATTGTTCTCACCCCTGAAAACGATTTTGAAAGTGATAGACAAAAAAAACAATCTGAAAGAATTCAAGCTTACTTAACAATTTTGGCTAATCTGCGTAATTCTCCTTATATTCTTAATTTTCTTGGTCTAACCAAATTGCATGGTTCTGATTATATGGTTTTTGAATTTGCTCAGAAGGGTAATCTAAAAGAAATTTATGAAAATGAAGATATTGATTGGCCAACAAAAATACAACTTGCTGTGGATATTTGTCGTGGAATAGTGTATATCCATGGTTGTAACATATTACATCATGACATTAGATGTGAAAATATTTTGGTGAGTATAATAATACTATGTATATATATATGTATTTTTTTTTGTGTGCATAATATTTATTATTTTTGTTTATTTTTCACGAACAATTTTTTTAGTTAACAGATAAATGGTTACCAAAAATTACAAATTTTGAATATAGTCGAGGTTTAGATGCTTATACAATAGATCTAGAAAATAGTGTATTAACAATGGTACATTGGTTTCCGCCTGAAAAAATGTTACATTATCAATTAAATCAAGATGGTAAAGTTGTTGTTGATAAAAAAAAATACTCTCCTTATACCAGACAAAGTGAAATATTTAGGTAAATTATTTATTTCCATTTTTATATTTAAATTTAAATTTAAATTTATATTTACTATATCTATATATATATATTATAGTTTTGGTATGACACTTTGGGAACTTGCATATCAAAGAATTCCTTATAAAGGTAAGAATTTACAAGATATTCAAAAACATGTAACAAGTAATCGAAGAGAAGATACTTCACCTCCTCACATTGGCGTCCCAAGTTATTTTCAAAATTATATAAAAATAATAACTCAAAGTAAGTAGTAATTATTGATAGCTAATTGTTAATTAATTTATTTACTTGTTCATTTGTTTATTAAAAATAACTTATAATTCATAGTGTGGAAACCAGATCCAGATTCAAGACCAGATATAGTTGATTTATTTAATAGCTTATATGACTTACTTGACAAAGTTAAACCAGATTGTTCGCCATTATTTTCACCAATCAAAAATGATGAAGCTATTAAAGCATCAATTTCCATTAACAATAATAATAAAGCTAACAACATTGTTAATGGTGGCAATGATGATGGTGATGATCCATCATTGTTGCCTAATTTTGTTGACTTTTCATTGGATGATGTTATTAAAGCACCAATGCCATTAGAAGAAGGTATCAAAGCTCATAAAGCAAAAAATAGAGCAAAGGCATGGAAATGTTTTTGTGATCTTTCAGCTGATGGAAACATGAAGGCAAAATATTGGAAAGGTTATTATTTATTTGAGGGGTATCATGTAAAGAAGGATATACAACAAGCTGCACAATTGTTTAAAGAGGCAGCTGATAGCGGTATAGCTGATGCACAAGTAAGGTATGCATTTTGTATATTAGGCAAAAAACCAGACAGCAAATTTGAGGATGATGAAATTGATGAAATTATCAAATATATGACAATGGCTTCCAACAATGGAAACGTGACTGCTTTATATAATCTTGGGGAAATGTATTATAAAGGAAAGGTGGTAAAAGAGGCAAATAAGCATAAAGGATTAGAATATTTGAGATTGGCTGCTATACAAGGACATGAAAGAGCAATTGAAAAATTACAAGATGAAAATATTGACCTTTATTGGGGTGAAAAATGAATGTTGTAGCTAATTTTTTTAGAAATATTTATTTGTTTATTTATTTATTTATTTATTTATTTATTTATTTTATTTATTTATTTATTTTATTTATTTATTTATATTGTATTTATGAATTTTGTTTTATAATGTAATTTTTTTATTAAAGTATCTCATTTTTGTAAATTAGATAATTTTTTTGCTTATTTATCACATTGATAGCATTTAAAATGTCTTATTATTTTTTGTAAATTTCGATACAAATTTAAATAGTAATAAATCAACGGTTAATTATAATACCTGCCTTCATGGCGCAACCGGCTAGCGCGTTCGGCTGTTAACCGAAAGGATCCTGGTTCGAATCCAGGTGAGGGCGGTGTAATAATTTTTTTCAATTGGAAAATAAAATAAAAAGATTATGATTTTTATTTTTATAATACTTGATAGTTAAAGTAATTGATTGAATCATCAACAGAGCTGAGAATTGTGTTAGTTTTAACTTCCATCTGATTCCTATTTTGATTCCATAAATAAATTCTATTCTTATTTATATCTTTTTGATGACATGTTAATTAATAGGAATATGATATTACTTTACTTTCCATATATTTCTTATAACAAATTCATCTGATGTAATAGATACCTTTTTAGATAAATTAATATGTATATACTGTATTGTATATACAAATTTTATATTTTTCTAGTCCAGGAAGAACATTATCAAATAATTTATTATTTCATGTATTTTCATTTCATTGTTTTCAGAAAATCAATAAGAAAATAATATTATATGTCAATTATTATTGTTAGCTGCAATAACTCCTAACTGCAAATAATGCATCTATTTTATTAGATATAGCATTAATTATTTGACCTTTTCCGGCAAATTATGTGGGCCAGATTGTCAAAGTTTTGAAATTCTTTAAGCACAATTATTGATCAACAACTCCTTTACTGGGGGTGTTTGGTTTGGTTTGGAATAATATCAACATTATTTCATTGATTTCTTGTTCTGCTGAACAGACAATTCATTTCACAACCTCTTGTCAAAAATCCATATCCCATTTTATTTTTTTCCAGATTTTTTAAATATTTTTCAACATTTTATTAGAAAAAAATTATTAAAGGTTCAAGTTTTCATCTTCCAATTTAATTATTATGTCAGTTGTATTTTGAATGGTACCAGAATATTTTTTACTGCTTTATGGCTTTTCCTTTGGTAACTTTATATCTTCATATATTATATGTATTATCACTATGGAATCAAACAGCTTTCAATGATGAGCACAAATATATATTGGTAATAACCTCAAAGATTTTGATATTGGTACTACTGTTGTATGTGAAAATTAAATTGAAATCTATAATTAAAATTTTGGGGTGGGGTGTTTGGATATGAAAATTCCGATTGGCTAATTTTGAATTTCACATTAAATATGTGAAATTCAAATTCATTTTCACGCAACAACACTACCAAGAATTTCAGTCAGAGTTTTTTGTACAATATACATGGGATGTTAATTAAATTGAGAATCAGTCGGTATTTAAAGAATGTCTTTTCAGTGCTCTTGGATATAGCAATAAAATAATAACTTAATACAAAAACAATATAATAATACATAGCCATTTACTATAAACCGATCACTTATAGAGATATACTATCTTTCAACGTGGGACTGTCAATAATTTATTTAGCTTTCTTTAAATAAATTATCATGATATAAATCAACGCTGTACCTATTAAATTTATATTATATATTAATATCGTGGAATTTGTTCACATTTTACAATTTATCTTAGCTTATATCAGTCAGAAAATATAAAATTAATTAATTCGCATTTTGTCTCCTCACAATACTTTTTTATATAAAAACAATTTGCAGAAAGTTGAAAAACTTGCTTGTATAATTAATTCATTAATACAACAAACTATCAACCATAAAATAATATATAGAAACAAATCATTAAAAAAAATTTTGGCATATAATTTATTTACCAAATCCATAAAAAAGTTTTCCTCGTCTTTGAGTGCATGAACTGTTATGGAGTATAGTAATAAATAGTTAATACAACGAAAGAAGTTTCATTCATATATTAATTTAAAGGAATATACAATATATATTACATACCATAATAATATACTGTGAACTAACTTACCAACATCACATATACTTTACTGTCTTACGTTTTGCAGGCTCTGGAAGAATTACCTATATAACGCAAAGATCTTGATGATGAAGTGTAATTTTTCATGGATTCATTAAGGATATCAATATATTTTACAGAATTTTCATCTAATTCTCTATCTATTCCTCCTTCAAACCAACTTTCTTCAGACTCTTCATGTGAAAACTGTCCTAAATTAGTTTCCAATTGATTTTCATTACCAAATGAGCTATTATTTTTTTTATCTAAAGCAAGTATATTTAAATGTGCTTTTTGCTTTTTAAGTTTAGGCATGATTAATTGATAAATTTCAAAAAAGATTTAAATTTTTTTGAAGCAAACCCCCCCCGCGTTAAAAAATTTATATTTTGTCACGTGACAAGTGTAACATGGAATCCAAGTTAATTCCAGCCAAATATAGCAATTTTGGTAAGATTTATGGTGGACAAATTGAGACCAAACATAGAATAATGATGATTTTTAAAAGCTCATAGCTCTATACAGAATGGGATTTAAAAAAAAACTCTTCATTTTTTGTTAATTCAAGCTTCAAACTAACTGATTATGAAAAGCTTTTTGATTATTTTTATTTGTTGACAGACTAGATAGAATTAAAAAATTTCATGTAAAAGTTGCTGGGACTAGACTAGATGCACCATAAATTTATGGTTCAAGTATACATGGGATGGTAATTTCTTAATTACTGTAAATACGTAATACATAATTATCATAATCAATTACCACTTTCCCTCTTTAAAAATGTAATTACGAAATTAATTATGTATTATGGGTGACAAAATTAATTACAGGCAATGAAATTAATTATGAGAAATATCATAATAATAATACAAGTCACTCGTGTTATAATGACACTCTCTGTACCAGCAAAAAATGTCAGTATAATGGGAGTTCATAGAAGTCATACGAGAATCAATTTTTTGATAAAAACCTATAATATTCATGCTCTTTCATTGCCCATGTAATATGACTATTCCATTCTCTGACCTTCATTTCTTTTTCTTCTGACATCCAATAATTTGCATTGAACCTATGTTCTTTGCAAATATGACATAAATCACTTCTTGGAGTAAGAAATTTAATTTCTAGAAGACATGTATGCCATATTCTTTGAAATGTTCTATTTGAGACATATATTTCAGAATTTTCTTCAATTGTATCAATAAAACATTTAAATACTGTTGCATAATTTTCATCTACTGGAAAAAATACAATGTGTCTTGTATTTCTTTTAAAACTTCTTCCTATAATTAAATACTTTAATTGTGAAACTTTTGTTTGCAAAATTTAATTGTAATCAACTGTTTTTACTTGGAGATGGAAGTCCATTTACATTAGAATAATTTAATATAAATTTAATAATTTGCAGAACTCCATTAAATGATATTGCTCTGTTGCTTACTTTTACTGTTAATGAATTGGCTCTAGTTTGTATATCAAAATCATTAAAGTATCTTCTAATATTTACCCATCTTGTTATGCCTATACCATAAATACCCAAAGAATGCACTTTTACAAATTTTTATTCTATCAAAAAAATAAACATTTGCTAATTTTTCCCTTCTCTTTCCTTTAGGAGTTATTTCATCTCTCAAACTAGAAGAAATGCCTTTCAAAAACATATCCTGTTCAATTAACCAAGTTTAGTAAAGATCAACAACAAATTATTACTCTCTTGTTTTTCTTAAATCAAGAAAATATTCATATCTAGTTTCAATTTCATTAAAATCTAATTTCACTCTCAAAAATACTTTTGACAACAATGTCTATTAAATAATTTGTTTTTTTATTTCTTTACAATAACCAGTTGGTAAGTATTATATTATAATTTAACTTTTACAACACAAAATCAGCATCATCTAATTAAATAATTTGTTTTTTTTATTTTTTTATAATAACCAGTTGGTAAGTATTATATTATAATTTAACTTTACAACACAAAATAAACATCATCTAATTAAATAATTTGTTTTTTTATTCTTTATAATAACCAGTTGGTAAGTATTATATTATAATTTAACTTTTACAACACAAAATAAACATCATCATCTAATTAAATAATTTGTTTTTTTATTTCATAGAGCATAAGTATTATATTATAATTTAACTTTCACAACACAAAATAACAAAATAAACATCATCTAATTGAATAATTTGTTTTTTTGTTTCTTTATAATAATCAGCATGTAAGAATTATATTATAAATCAACTTTTTACAAAATAAATTTTATTAACATCATCTAATAAACTTATTTTTTATTTCTTTATAATAACCAGCTGGTAAGTATTATATTGTATTATAAATCAATTTTTATAATTTTTATATCTAATTATTAAGTTTATTTTTCTTTAATAAATCCTTTTTTATAATAACCAGGGAGTAAGTATCATATTATGAAATTAACTTTTACAACACAAAATAATTTTTATTAAAACATTGATTAATTAATAAATTTATTTTCTTTATAATAACCAGCATGTAAGTAACTTTTACAACACAAAATAAATTTTTATAGCATCATCTAATTAAATATTCTTTATTTCTTTATAATAACCAGCTGGTAAATATTATATTATATTATAAAATAACTTTTACAAATACAGTGGTGTGCAAAAAAAATGACAATCTTTTTGGAAAAAGATCAACAAGTGTAACTTCCTCAATTATGGTCATAAAGATACAATTAAATACGGAAATAAAGGCTTAACAATTACTCTATCATTTCCAAGTATCATTTTTTCTAACAATTAATAAAATTTATATTTTATCAAACATCAAAATGGTTGCATCTAAGCAAGAATCCCAATGTCAAATGATATTACACTTCTGGCAGCAGGGAACACGAACAGCTGCTGAAATACATTCTTTGACAAAGTTTCCACTTAAAACAATCTATCGAAACCTTAAAAAAATTGAAGAAACTGGAGATGTAAAGCACAAAGGTGGTAATGGTCGTATTAAGAAAATAACAACCAATGCTTCCCGTGCAATTGGCCAGTATATTGGAAGGAATCCTACACTTTCTGCTGGATCTATTGCTGAAAAATTGGAGGATACTGGAATAAACGTCTCTCGCTCAACAGTATCAAGACACCTGACTGACCTTGGATACCGTAATGCTCTTCCCCTTTCTACACCAATGCTCACATCAGTCCATAAGCAAAAACGTGTTGAATGGGCACAAAAACACAAAGATGACAATTGGGAAAAGACATTATTTAGTGATGAAACATCTTTCCAATTGTTTCGTAATACAATAAAGCATTGGTATAAGAATGCAAGACCAATTCACCCTATGCCAAAAGACCAAAGTAAAACATTCGCATGGGGTGGTTTCTGTGTAAAAGGTAAAACATGTCTAACTTGTTTTAGGTGCATAATACAGAAATATTGGAAGAGCATATCCCGGAGATAAATAGTATGCTGAGGGGTGAATGGCGGTTACAGCAAGACAATTACCCTAAGCATACTAGCCGTATTTCCCAGGTAATAATGTCCCAGAGGTTATGGACTGGCACTCTAATAGTCCCGACCTAAATCCAATTGAGAACCTTTGGGCCATTGTCAAAAGAAACGCGGAGAAGCGTAGACCCAAAAATCTTACTGAATTAGAAAGTCTTTTTGGTGAGGAGTGGGACAAAATTCCAAATAGTCTTCTAATTAGTCTTGTAGATTCAATGCCACAACGTTGTAACGAAGTTATTGAGAAAAATGGTGAACGGATTATTTTTTTTTAATAAAATCTATTGCCTTTTAGCTTTAAAACAATACAGTTAAATTGGTGTAATGGTTGCGAAACTATAATAATTTTAAAAATTGTCATTTTTTTTGCACACCACTGTAAGTTTAAAGAGCATAAAAAATTGAAACTAAAACATAAATTTTTATTTGAATATATCAATCATATAGTTTAGAGTTATTTTGAGTTTTGTAATTTTGCGAAGTTTGCCAACGATGGTCACCAATTGTAAAATAAATTAATTCATAGCATGATGTTTCCACTTACATTTTTGCAAAAAAAAACATTTGGATATCAATAAAAAGACTGTTGTGAACATTTTTATTAAAAAAAAATTTTTTTTTTCAAGCCGTTTTTGCACTATTTCAATCTTGATTGGGGATTATGGGCGTAAAAATCAACATAATACAAAAATAATGATTCTTTTTTATGTTCTCTACTAAAACGTTGCATCCAACTCACTTGCTTCTGCTCATTGTTTTAGATCTGTAAACATTTCTTATCTACATTTCCTGACAAAAAATAGGCTCTTAGAAGTTGTTTTACTTGCTCAGACATGCATTACTTCCACCATGCTTTCCAAAAATTTCGTTTTTCACGGAGAGCCCAATCCAGTTCAAAGTAATTCGTTTTAAAAATTAAAAATTTAATTTAACATCTAGAAAATATTTATTATAATAATTTTTTTCTCTATAATGAACCATTCGGTTTAGGAAAAAATGTCCGTTATAGACAATAATAATAATTTATATATATACACATAAATTGGACTTAAATTTTCAGTACATTATAGAGAGTGGACTGTAGAGAGAACCTGTTATATACAATAATAATTTATATATAGACATATAAATCGGGCTTTCCATTATTATTGGGTCTGATTCATTTCGTCGACACCCATTTCGTCGAAAGTTTGTTTCATCGAAAGCTCATTTCGTCGAAAATTATTTCGTCACAAAAAAAACCTCATTAAACAAATTTCTCCTCACACTTCCCACACACTCCGCTTTCCTCACCTAATTTCTTAACTAACTTCCCACACTCCTCGCATCTAACTCGTTCGGTCTCTGGCTCGAGGATGAAATAATTTTCGACGAAACGAACTTTCGACGAAACAAACTTTCGACGAAATGGGTGTCGACGAAATGATGTCGACGAAACAATTTTCGACGAAGTAAACGCGACCGAATAAAATAATAATAAATTAACCAACCAGAGGAACCACTAAAACCTTGATTACTTAACAACTCTGCAAGTTTCATACATTTGTGTTTAATAATGGAATCTGTAATTGTTAAATTACATTCAAGAGCCTTTTCAATCCATAAAATTAAAGCATCTTCAATGTTAGTAAATGGTGCAATAAATGGTCTTTTTAATTTTGCTCGATGGGAATTTGGATCGATTTTAAGCCATTTGTCAGACTCCTTTAATATGTCACTAACTTAGCTTGCGCCGATTCAAAACTGGTTCGCTAAATCAATATTTCTTGGTTCGGGTTATTTTTTTTTTTAAGATACATAATCCGCGTTTTTGTACTGCAGTAATATATACACATTTTTTGGAGGAAGATGATTGTTGAGACATTTTTAAATAATTTTTTTAATTGTATAAAAATTTTTTTTTTTTATGATTATAACATCAATATAGTAAATGGTAGTAAATTTGATGAATTGGAAATTTATCAAGTAGTTAATAAATAAATATTAAAAAATTCAAAAATACCAAAGTCTAATCATTATTATTAGAATTCATTTATATATTTATTTATATGTGTTTGGACAAATGACTGTGCCGCGTAAACGGAATATGAGATTTTCTTTGGAGAAAAAACAGTTTCAGTCCAGAATGAGTTTCGAAATAAACAACAAAACTATTATAGAGAAGTAGAAGTAATTGTGCCGTTGCAAGTAGCTATAGAATAAAACACTATTATATATAATTTGATAAACTTTAGCCATTTAAGAATGTAACCTCTGATATGATTGTCCGGTTTAACCGCGGTTTGGTTTACACATTTCAAACCACAGTTTAATTGTTTAGGTTGAACCATGATAAGCCCCGGTTTGAAACTGAAACTGATTATATACACGTTACATTCCTTAAACGTTATATAATTAATTTTTATTGGACGGACCAACTTATCGTGGCCCTAGATTTATAGATAACGTTTTTATTGATTGAATTTTGAATTTTCAATAATGTAATAGTCGTTTTTCAAAAAGATAAATATGTATTATTACTGTTACCGCTATTGTTACTGCCATTATCAATACCGCCACCATTCAATTCAAAACTCTAGTTTAACAATGGGTTTTCAAATTGGTTTAACAAAATTAAGTTATGTTCCTTAAAAAAATTTTCTTTCCGCAAGAATATCAAGTTCAAAGTAACAAAAGAGTTGATAATGTCCACCACTTCAACTTCATTTGTTCAAGTTTTTGATACAATAATTCAATTTGAATACATGACATTACACTTATACCTCATCATCATCATCATCATCATCATCATCATCATAGTTTAAATTCCTAATTATTAACGAATCATTAGAACTATTTCAAAAGTAGATGAATATTTTACGAAATTCAGAAGTGCCGTCCACATATAGTGGAATTGGAAAAACTTCACTGATACCATATCTGATGAAGATGATAGTAGTGATGTTTAAAAATAACTTTAATTGTTGGAACGAACAAATTTTTTTTTCATTTATTTATAAACTTGGGTTTGAACTAATGATACCTGACGAAATGTTTTTGTAGGCGGGAATTTATTTCGTCAAATCATTGTTAATTTCGTCACATTTGGCGAAATGGTAAAATGTGGTAAATTGACGAAATGTGACGAAAAGAGGAAAATGTGACGAAAAGAGGAAAATGCGACGAAAAGGGGAAATGTGACGAAAAGGAGATATTATAAACAATTCTAAAAATTATAATAATTACAAGAACTTGCAATAAAACTTTTTTCTGTTGTTCCACATAGTGCTAGCTGCGAGCGAAATTTTTCAAATTTAGGTTGGTTATATAGTACAAGAAGGCATAATTTCAATTTAGAAAAAGTAGAAGATATGTCAAAAATCTATAGTTATTACCTTGCACAAACTAAAAAGGAAATTCAATATTATGGGCAGAAATTATCAGAAGAAGAGCTTAAAAAATTAATAAATGATACAGGACTTATTTCTGATGATAGTGATGATGATGATGATGATACAGCGAATGATTTTTCTGGTGAAGATGAAGAGGTATTAAATAATATACAGAACCAATTTCTGGATATATGTGAAATCATGGATTTAAATAATGAAGTATTTTGTGATAGTAATGCTGAATCTTTAGTTGAAACTAATCAAGATGAATCAATTTACGAATTTTCTGATAATAATTATAATCCAAGAGATTTAGTAAAAGATACCTTTGTTGAAGAAGATGAATTTGAAAGTGAACATAATTCAGAAATAGTTATTTTCATGATCATTGCGAAGTTAATGAAACTGATAGAAATAATTATTTAGAACGAGAATGTTATGATATTGATAACAATTCTGGAAATAATACAAATGAAAATGAAGATGATGATAATAATTCTCAAAAATTAGTTAGAAAAAATACAAACTAGAAGAAACATAATTTACGTAGCTCATCCAAATTTGACTCGGACAAAAGAGTAAAAAAATAAAAAAATTATTAAATTTTCTCTTTATATTTTAAATTTTAAATTATTATTGCAGATTATTACAAAAATTTCTTTATGAAAATGGTTATTTTTTCTCTCTTGCCAATTTTTTCTTTTCGTCAACTTTTCCTCTTTTTCCTTTTCGTCCAATATGCTCTTCGCGGTAAATTACATTTCGTCATGTAACATTTCGTCAGTTGACTAAATGTCGATCATTTCTTCAGGTCATTACCCGTGACCTTTTTTGGGGGATTGTGCATCTTGTTTTTTCTTTAAATGTTTTAATAATTTTTCTTGTATTATTGTGTCCCAGGTGATTGATTACTTTGTTTTTGAAAATCAATTCATCATTTAAAGTGCGAACTCATGTGTTTTTCTCTAAATAAGGATAACATGCACCCAACCACCAATAAAATTGGATATTTTCATGATGCTGCTCAAATTTGCGGACATTACATATTTTAAATCAAAGGGATCTGAAAATATAAAGTTAACTGAATTCAAAATCAGAAAAAAAACAGACTCTCAATATGAAGATTCACTATATCAAGATTTTGTTGGTCATAAAATTTGCATTTGGATTTACTTTTTGTTTTAGTGTATTTATTTATACTATATTCAATATTTTTATTACAAGAGAAATTAAAGAAGCATTTATAATATTAAATATTATTACTATTACTATTCGAATATTCACATTTGTATTAGTATTAGTATTAGGTATTAAAATAATTATTATATTAATATATTAATATTTGAATGTCCGCAACACTTTCAAATATTAATATCCGTAATACTCATAATACTTAATATTAATTAAGATGCCTTCAGTAACAGTAAATGATGGCATTATTTTAATTAGTGAAGAAGAAACAATTTCTAATTTTTCACCAGATCCCATCATCAATGATAGCTTATGTAGACCACCAAATAAAAAAAATATAAACTTTTGACGAAACATGAAGTCCTATACATCTGTTCCTGCAGAGCAGTTATTTAGTGATGCTGGAAACTATATTACACTAAAGCGTAAAAAATTAAAACCTGATGAGTAGAAAAGTTGAATAGGATTAGCAAATATAATATTTGGTTTTTAAAATTTGATACAGGGTCACAAAAAAAAAATACCACAAAAAGAAATGTTGTGTCAAATAGAAAATAATTTGTTTATTTTTTTTAAAAAAATTAAATATTAAAAAATTAAAATGTCCTTTAATAACTTATATAGTTTATTAACACAAGATAGAAGAGAATTACTACTTAAAATTTATAACGAAATGGATAGTAATGCTACATCTGCTTTTCCAACTGTTTCTGACAGTGAAAATTATAAAAGTTATTTTTTACAATTAGTCAAAGAAAACAAAGAACTATTAGAAAATGAAAAGGAATTTTGTGGGGAAAGGTTTATTTATAATTTTGAATTAAACAATGCAATTAATAAACATGGTGAACCAAGAGAATGCAATAATTGTAAAGCAGAAAGATACTCTGATAAATATTGTGAAAAGTGTATTAGTCTACACTTACAGAGCCTTTTTAGTACTTGGACATCTGGAAATGAGATAATTGATAGTTTTATTCAAGAGTGTCAACAGCTTTCATCTCTTCCGCAGCATATTATAGAATGGATACCTTATGAGCAATTTTATGATATAAAAAAGTTAACAGAGGGTGGATTCAGTTCTATTTATACTGCTGTATGGACAAGAGGAACTATTGATGATTATGATGAAAATAAAAAGGAGTTTAATTATTTTGGAGCTCAGTCTGTTGTATTAAAATCATTAAATAATTCAAGTAATCTAGGAAAACCTTTTTTTGATGAGGTAATTAATTTTATTTAAAATAAACTAAATTAAATCACTTTATTTATATAATTAATTATTAATTTCAGGCATTGAATTATTGCAAAATTAAATCAAACACAATTGTTTCTTGTTTTGGTATAACTAAATCCCCAGAAAATGGAAATTATGCAATAGTTCTTAATTATCATTCAGAGGGAAATTTAAGAGATCATATACAAAAAAATCATTATAATTTAACATTAAAAGATAGAATTAATATTTTTATGAATTTATGTGATGCATTATATTTTATACATAAAAAGGATTTAATTCATTGTGATTTACATAGTGGTAATATACTTGTGCAAGGAGGTGGTTGTTATATCACAGATTTTGGATTATGTGGACCAGTTGATGAAAAATCATAAATAAAATTTATGGAATTGTACCTTATATTGCACCAGAACTATTCAGAGGAAAAAAACACACAAAAGAAACAGATGTTTATAGTGTTGGGATGTTAATTTGGGAAATATTTGCAGGACATCCACCATTTGATGATACAGCACATGATTTTTGTTTGCAATTAAAAATATGTGAAGGTTTACGACCACCAATATTACCAGGAATGCCTGATGATTATGTACAAATGATGC